GGCCAAAAGACACCCAAGAGGCTCTCCCGAGGCAGCCAAGACGCTCCGCGAGAACCCTGGGACCGCCAAGATGCCATCAAGACGCCACTATAGGACCCCAAGAAACTATCACGAAGAGACTCCGGAAGACATCCAGGAGGCCTCTGGCCGTTCTCATCGCCCTCCTCCTCCTCCTTCTCCTCCTCCTCGTCCTCCTCCTCCTCCTTCTCCTCCATTCATTGTCCTTACAAATAGCTTCTCCCTGTCGCACCCCCGAGGTCAATTTTTAGGGCAGGCAGGGCGTTTCGCCTGAGACGTATGACCCTGAAGCCTAACAAGTGGCAACAGCTTTACAGAAATGGAGGGCGGGTGGTGTTCGAAATGTGACTTGATTGAAAGCTTTGCAAGGGTTTCACGGATTGAGGGGGGATCGTTTCCAACATGTGGCTCTCGCCTTAGCGCCGCGCACACTCGCTGTAATCATTTGCAAAAGCTCAACGGATTGACGGCGGGCCGTTTTCAACATGTGGCTCTCGCATTAGCGCCGCGCACATTCGTTTTAAACATTTGCAAGAGTTTCACGGATTGAGAGCGAGTGGTTTTCGAAATGTGGCTCTCGCCTGAGCGCCGCGCACATTCGTTTTTGTTACAGTGCAAGGGCTTCACGGATTGAGGGCGGGTCGTTTTCAAATTGTGGCTCTCGCCTTCGCGCCGCGCGCACTCGTTGTAAACATGTGCGTGGGTTTCACGGATTGAGGGCGGCTGGTTTTCACAATGTGGCTCTCGCCTTCCCGCCGCGCACATTCGTTGTATGAACTTGCAGGAGCTTCACGGATTGAGGGCGGTTCCTTTTCAAACTGTGGCTCTCGCCTTAGCGCCGCGCACGTTCGTGGCAAGAGCTTGGAAACGCTTCACGGATTCCAATGGTCAGCGCACCATTTTGGAAGGATTCAAGATTATGCGGGTGCGGCAAGTATGTTGGTGCGTTGTCGAAGCCCCAGAAATGCATTCTGGCACGATTCTGGATCGTCAAGATGCGGCAGTCAGGCTGATCCGTGGCGTTGAAATCCCGAGAACAATGTTTTGGCATGCTTCAGGGTCGTCAGACGGTTGTCTTCCAACGAGGCAGTTCCCTCAATGGAAATGAAACGTTGTAGGAGCCTCTGAAGAGGGAGCTTGGAGGGAGGATAATTCCAACATCGTTGATGACTCTTGGGTTTACACTGGTCATCTTCCTCCTCCTTCTCCTCCTCCTCTTCCTCCTCCTCCTCCTCTTCCTCATCCGCCTGCTCCTCCCCCTCCGCCTCCTCCTCTTCCTCATCCTCCTCCTTCCTCCCCCTCCTCATCCTCATACTCCGAATCCTCCTCCAGCCTCCCCCTCTTGGGCAGCCCTTTGTTCCACTGCATGCTCCTCCACATCCCTGATCGGGGCAACTAGCCTGGCAGCCTGGGCATCGTTTCTGGAAGGGCTGGCTGGGTTACGCGAAGCGTCTGCGAGGCGCACCTGAGCGGGGGGGTTCAGCGCGGACGCAATGAAATACGTGCGGACCTCCGAAATCGTTGCTTGCTCGTTGAAAGCAGGGGATGACGGCCCCACAAATCGCACTCCAACAACGCACCTCATACTTAAGATCCGCTTCTGACCTCCGTAGGTAATGGTGGCTGCCGAGACGAGCACAGAAACCGGGGGGCAACTGCGTCGGGAGGCCACCAAAAAAACTCACAGACACTGTGTGAGAAACCGCATTCAATTGGCCACCTGGCCTGCTCTTCTTCGTCCTCGTCCTCGTCCTCGACCTCCTCCTCCTTCTCCTCCTCCTCCTCCTCCTCCTCCTCCTCCCCTCCTCCTCCTCCTCCTCCTCCTCCTGCTCGTCCACCTCTCCCCCATCCTGGTCCTGACAGCCCTGGGCAGCTAGGGCCGCCAGTGGCCGAAAATAACTAAAAGCGTTGCGCCTTGACGAGTTGGGGCGCTTCTTCCCCTGGGATCCAAAGTCACGACAAAATTGCAGCATCGCTAACAATCAGGACCAGCACCCTGGACCCTGGACACCATCTTTCCGCGGCGCTTCTTCTCGAGCTAGATCGATCCTTGAGAGCCCCGAGACCCGAAACAGGGCGATCACACCAAGTGCTAAAAAAACGGCGATGCCCAGATATCAGGGCCGACCCCCATCCCTGAGACGTTGTCGTTTCCGTCCAGGCGGAAACGGGGCAGAAGTGGGGTGAGCAAGCCGCTCTCGACGGCCCCTGGCGGGACAACCCCCTCTACTAACCCCCGCTCCTGCGAGGCGGGAATTTATCAATAACCTCATCCGACGACCACAATGTTTCAACCCGCAGCCCCAGAGCTCCCGACACCTTCCCTACTGGCAGTTGGCGTCCCGGGTCCACCTTTGATGCCCCCAGGACCCAAAATAACAGGCCACGGAGGCCGACATCGAGGAACATCGTCGTCGTCGTCGATCGTCGGTCGTCGTCGTCGTCGATCGTCGTCGTCGTCGTCGGCCGCAGCCCGCCCCGGGGGCTGGAGGCCGCTGCGCGCAGCGTCGCAGACCCCGCCCCCGCGGCATGGGCGGCCCTGCCCGCTGGGTCCTGGGAGGACACCCAGCCACGCAAGACCCCCTCAGGCCATCTGCTGCCCCTCCTCTTCCTCCTCCTCCTCCTCCTCCTCCTCCTCCTCCTCCTGCTCCTCCTCCTCCTGCTCCTCCTCCTCCTGCTCCTCCTCCTCCTCATCCTCCTCCTCCTGCTCCTCCTCCTCCTCCTCTTCCTCCTCCTCGCTCTCCCTTTATTTCCGCCATGTGTCTCAGCCACCTTCGTACTCCTCCCTGCTCCACCTCCTCTTCCTCCTTCTCATCCTCCTCCTCCTCAGCATCATAATCATCATCACCACGACCACCATCATCCTCATCCTCATCCTCATCCTCCTCCTCCTCATCATCATCACCCTCACCATCACCACCACCATCCCCACCATCATCATCATCACCACCATCATCATCATCATCAGCAGCATCATCATGATCATCATCATCAGCATCATCATCACCAGCAGCATCATCATCAGCATCATCATCACCAGCATCATCATCATCAGCATCATCATCACCATCATCATCACCATCACAACCATCAGCATCAGCATCGGCATCATCGTCCTCATCCTCATCATTATCCCCATCCCCACCCTCACCATCGTGATCATCATTAGCAGCATCATCATCATCATCACCATCATCATGAGCAGCCTCATCCTCATCCTCGTCATCCTCATCATCATCCTGACCATCATCATCGTCATCTCCATCCGCATCAGCATTACCATCATCCTCAGCAGCGTCATCATCATCGGTATCAGCATCAGCAACATCATCACCACCATCATCATCATCAGCATCATCATCAGCAGCATCAACCTCATCCTCATCATCATCATCACCATCGTCATCGTCATCATCATCATCATCAGCCGCAGCATCATCAGCGCCATCGTCATCAGCATCATCATCAGCATCGCCATCACCATCATCATCATCATCACTTCCACCACCACCACCATCATCATCCCCATCCCCACCCTCACCATCATCATCATCATCATCATCATCATCATCATCATCATCATCATCATCATCATCAGCATCCATGTTCCTCCTCCTCCTCCTCCAGCTCCTCCTCCTCCTGCTTCTCCTCCTCCTCCTCGCTCACCCTTTATTTCCCCTCTTTCTCGGCCACCGTCGTACTCCTCCCTGCTCCACCTCCTCCTCATCCTCCTCCTGCTCCTCCTCCTCCTCCTCCTCATCCTCCTCCTCAGCATCATCATTAGCATCATCATCACCATCACCACTACCATCATCATCATCATCATCATCATCATCATCATCATCATCATCATCATCCTCATCCTCATCCTCATCCTCCTCCTCATCATCATCACCATCACCACCACCATCCCCACCATCATCCTCATCATCAGCATCAGCAGCATCATCACCATCAGCATCATACTCATCATCATGATCATCACCACCACCAGAATCATCGTGATCAGCATCATTATCATCCTCATCATCATATCATCAGCACCAGCATCATCCTTATCCTCATCCTCATCCCCATCCTCACAGTCGTCAACATTATCCTCATCATCATCCTCCTCATCATCCTCATCCTCACCATTATCATCGTCATCATCGTCAGCACCAGCATCATCATCATCGTCATCATCAGCAGCAGATTCAACGGTATCAGCATCAGCAGCATCATCACCACTATCATCATCAGCATCATCATCAGAAGCATCCTCCTCCTCCTCCTCCTCCTCCTCCTCCTCATCGTCGTCATCATCATCAGCAGCATCATCAGCATCAGCGTCGTCAGCATCATCATCATCATCATCATCATCATCATCATCATCATCATCATCATCATCATCATCATCACCAGCATCGGCATCACCATCATCATCACCACCACCATCATCAGCAGCATCATCATCATCCATGTTCCTCCATCTCCTCCTCCTCCACTCCTCCGCCCTCCCTGACGACGTCGACGCCGAGCCATTCCCCTTCCTCGCGCCCCTCCCCCTGGCGAGGACCAACTTTAGGCCTCGCCTGTAAGGACCGTCAATCGGCCTCACTCCCCGCGCAATTCCCATCGTAGGGGCTGCGTGGGTTGCCGCTCCCACCTGTCATCACGCCGTCGAGGGGCACTGGAGGGTGCCGAGGACCTTCCTGCTGCCCCTCTGCCAACGGAGACGGCTGCGTGGGGGGGGCTCAAACGCACATCCCTCCACCATCTCCAACACCTCCTCCCCCTCTTCCTCTCCCTCCTCCTCCCCCTCCTCCCACTCCTCTTTCCTCCTCCTCCTCCTCCTCCTCCTCCTCCTCCTCCTCCTCCTCCTCCTCCGCCTCCGCCTCCTCCTCCTGTCGTGGCGGCGCCCATGGCCCACCACGCGCTTCTTCCGCCTCCCTCCCTGCCTCCTCCTCCCCCCCCTCCGCCCGGGGAGCCGAGGGCGACGCCGCTCCCGAAGCAGGCCTCGGCCAGCGAGACCAGCTGCGCCAGCCCCGGCCGGGGCGACGCCGCCCACTCGACGAGGCTCAGCGCTAGCTCGCCCGAGCGGCCCTCCGCTCCGCGCCGCCGTCTGCCGCCGCTTTCCGCCGTCGTCGGTTGCGGCGTGTCCCGTCGCTGGCGGCGTCGTGCTCGTCGGCGGCGGCGGCGCCGTCGTTGTCGCTGGCAGCGCCGTCGGCGTCGCCGTCGCAGTGGTCGTCGCCGTGGTCGCTGTCGCCGTCGGCGTCGTCGTCGGCGCCGCGTCGTCTTGGAGGCCTCCGGGTGCCTCTGGAGGTTTTCGTCGCCGTCGGCCCGGCGCACCTCGAAACCCGGGCTAAGGTGGACCTGAAACGGGCCCGGGAGCCGATTCTGAGATCGACTACGTCGCTGGCGTCGGCGTCGTCGGCGGAGGCCCCAAGAGGACAACAGCACCGAACCCCAAATACTCGATCCTCGAGCATCGAAGCTAAAGGAATGCCATAGGAATGGATGGAGGAAGAGGAGGAGAAGGGGACGAAGATGGGATGTGGAGAAGGAGGCAAGCGTAAGAAGAGAAATGATAAGGAGGACGAAGAGTATGATGATGATGATGATGATGATGATGATGATGATGGTGATGATGATGGTGATGATGATGGTGATGATGATGGTGATGCTGCTGATGACGATGACGATGGCAATGGCGATGACGATGCCGCCGACGACGACGACGACGACGACGACGGGGGTGGTGGTGGTGGTGGTGGTGGTGGTGGTGGTGGTGGTGGTGGTGGTGGTGATGATGATGATGATGATGATGATGATGATGATGATGATGATGATGACGATGCTGATGCTGATGCTGATGATGATGATGATGATGATGCTGATGATAATGATGATGATTATGACGATGCCGCCGACGACGACGACGACGACGGTGATGGTGGTGATGATGATGATGATGATGCTGATGATGATGATGATGATGATGATGATGATGATGATGATGATTATGATGATAATGAGGATAATGCCGATGGTGGTGGTGATGGTGATGGTGATGGTGGTGATGATGGTGATGATGGTAATGATGATGTGGGCTGGGAGTCGAGCATGGCCAGAGCCTAAACAAATCCATTGCCCAAACCAATCATGGGGTGATTGCCGTCGATCGACAGTCAGCCGTGCATGTCGGTCTGCGGCGAGCACAACCTGCGGGTCGTAAAATGGAAGGCATTGGCACTCGCCATGGATACGCAACTTTAAACCCAGCCTCATCCTTGGAGGAGGAGGTGGAACAGCCAGGAGCAGCTCAACCTTCCACCAACTGGAAGCGCATGAAACCTGGGCTGAACAAAGAGTCCGACACCGATACCGATTACAGCACCGGTGCAACTAGCAGACTACCGAAAATGCAGCCTCGCAGAGAATAGACAAACTGCGTCCGTTGTCCAAGAAAAATAATCATACGAATAATAATAAGAAGAAGTGCTGAAGAAATCCGCCGACCTTCTCGGCGTGTGTGAGGGGGGATTCTGAGTCGGTCGTCCCCAGGTGGTCCTAAGAAACGACCTTTTATTCGAATTGCTCTTCCATTCCCCGAGACTCTCCCGAGACCCTCTTTGGCGCCAACTCGAAGTGAATCGATCCACGTCGTAGTCGAGGTCCTCATTGAGTCGGAAGAAAGGAAACCTCTTCCCTTAGATCCTTCCCCACCCAAGGGGGAAGGTCCTGGGTCCTGGGGGGTGGTCCTGGTGGTGGTGGAGGGGGGCGTCCCAGTGGGTCCCGAGAGAGGGTCACGGGTCAGAATACGGTCCCCCCTTTCCCTTTTGGGGCCGATGTGGCCCTCCTTGGGCGAATCCATCGAAGATGCTTCAAGAGGGACGAGGGCCCAAAGTCGCCGAAAGATCTCTCCAGCTAGCCTTCACACGACCCAAAACGCCTCCAAGACACCCCGAGAGGCCTCCAAGAGCACTCCCAAGAGGCAACATGTATTGAATTTTCGGCGGTCTTTGACGGCAAGATGCCTCCAAAACGGCCCAAGAGGCCTCCAATACGGCCAGCCTCCAATACGGCCCAAGACGCTCCCAAGAATGTCCCAAGAGGGCCCCAAAGGGCGAACACGAACCGACAGTTCGAGCTCACCGCCCCAAGAAGCTCCCGGGAGGCTCCCAAGAGGCCCCCAAGAGGTCCTATGCGGCCTTCAAACTGCCTCCAGAGGCCACTAACAGCCCTCCGAACAGATCCCAAGAAGCATCCATGAGGATTCTGACCCACTACCCAGGCAGGCTGTGAGCCTCTGAGCCCTCCAACGCCCCATGAACGCTTCCATGAGGCTCCCCCGCAAGACCCCCCCCTAAAACACCCACTGAAATCTGTCATAGAGGCCGCCGCTTTCCTCCCTTCTCTTCTCATCTCCCTCATCTTCCTCCCCACGCTCGTTCCTTTCTGCTCCTTTCCTCCTCCTCCTTTTTGGGGGGGCGCCTGGGGCTCATGCGCTCTCTGCGCCCTATGCGCCTCATGGGATGCCCGAGCCCTAGGAGCCTAGGGGTCCCACGAGCCCTTGAGCCCTATGAACCCAATAGGCGTCGTGGGGCCGCCGGCCCCCTGAGCCAGGTCACTGAGAGTTCTCTGTCCCGCTGGTTCGATGGGCCCCGTGAGCCCTACGAGCGCTATGGGCGTCGTGGGCCCTGCGAGCAATGTGAGTCTCGCTGACGCTGCGAGCCCTACAAGTCGCATGAGCCTCATGGCCCCTGGAACGCCCTGTGATCCCTACACGCCATTCGGATCCCACGAGTCCTACGACCAATCTGAGCCTCATGAGCCCTACAAGCCCTACAAGCCCCCCGACCTCCTCCTCCTCCTCCTTCTCCTCCTCCTCCTCCTCCTCCTCCTCCTCCTCCCCTTCCTCCTCATCCTGCTCTCTGCTTCTCCTCCTCCTCCTCCTCCTCCTCCTCCTCCTCCTCCTCCTCCTCCTCCTCCCCACTGTAGCTATTTCGCTCAAGGTAGGCCATGGCCAAAAGACCACACCGAGACACCTTCGCAAGTGGTCGCAGACCCCTGCCCCCCTCCTGCTCCGCTCTGCTGCGGCAGATGACCGAAGACGCGAGCCATGCCGAAAATCGATCGCCGAAGCGTTGGGTGCTGGCCAGGCTCCATGGGATCCTTCAGAGCTCTGCTATGAGAGCGCCGGTTCGCGCTGAGACCGTGCCGTGCGAGATGCCCAGAGACCGAGGAGACCCCCTGACCCAGACCCCCGACGTCGTGATTTTGTTCGCAACGTCGACCCCCAGAGGTCTGGACCGTTTCCCCGAGGCCAGTTTCTCATCCTGAGGCGTTTTATTTTTTTGACGGCCCCGAGGCCCGGGAAAGGCCACCGGAGGCCGAGAATTGTGAAACATGTCCCGTCGTTCTTTTTTCCCTTACAACGCGAGGAGGCCTGGGGACCCCCCCCCCTCCTGCTCCGCGCCGCCCCGCCGCCGCGCCGCAGCGCCGCGCCGGCACGGGCGCTGCTTCGCCTCGCCGTCCGCGGGCTCGCCGCTGGCGGAGGAGAGCGCCCTTCCCGGCAGGGGGGGGGGCCGAGCGGCCGGCGGCGGCGGCGCCGCCGCCGGGGGGAAGGGGCAAGGAGGTTTAGGCTACCCTGAGGTCCTGGCGACTCAATGTTTTCGAGAGCCGGGCGTTTTCGCGTACTTTCGGGCCCCAGGACCCTCACGGATCGATCCGGCTTGAAAGATGGCGCAGCAAGATAGGGTCTAGGCCTCCAGGCTCGATCTTTCACGGCGTCCCAATTGTTTTGGAGACGTCGGATTTCAGGGGAAGTCGAAAAGCGCTAGATTTATGTCGGGCGTTTCCCCCTACAGGGGGATTTTCGACGACAAATAAAAAATATCCCGGCAAAGCAACCTAACAGCGATGTGTAGGAGCATATCTGGAAGTATTCCCCTTAAGATTCAGATGAGAATCCAGTTGCAGAATTCTGCCGTTCTCGCAGCCGTAGTCGCATTCGCGATGACAGTCGCAGTGGCAACGGCAGTCGCAGTCACCGCCTCAGCCTCAGCCTGCCTCAGCCTCAGCCTTAGCCTGCCTCAGCCTCCGCCTGCCTCAGCCTCAGCCTCAGCCTGCTTCAGCCTCAGCCTCAGTCTGCCTTCAGCCTCGGCCTAAGCCTCAGCCTGCATCAGCCTGCCTCAGCCTCAGCCTGCCTCAGCATCAGCCTCAGCCTGCCTCTGCCTCAGCCTCAGCCTGCTTCAGCCTCAGCCTCAGTCTGCCGTCGGCCTCGGCCTCAGCCTCAGCCTGCCTCAGCCTCAGCCTCAGCCTCAGCCTCAGCCTGCCTCAGCCTCAGCCTGCCTCAGCCAGCCTCAGCAGCCTGCCTCAGCCTCAGCCTCAGCCTCATGCCTCAGCCTCAGCCTCAGCCTCCTGCCTCAGCCTCAGCCTCAGCCTCAGCCTCAGCCTCAGCCTCAGCCTGCTTCAGCCTCAGCCTCAGTCTGCCTTCAGCCTCGGCCTCAGCCTCAGCCTCAGCCTCAGCCTCAGCCTCCTCAGCCTCAGCCCTCAGCCTCAGCCTCAGCCTCAGCCTCAGCCTCAGCCTCAGCCTCAGCCTCAGCCTCAGCCTCAGCCTCAGCCTGCCTCAGCCTCAGCCTCAGCCTGCCTCAGCCTCCTTCAGCCTCAGCCTCAGCCTCAGCAGCCTCAGCCTCAGCCTCAGCCTCAGCCTGCCTCAGCCTCAGCCTCAGCCTGCCTCAGCCTCAGCCTCAGCCTCAGCCTCAGCCTGCTTCAGCCTCAGCCTCAGTCTGCCTTCAGCCTCGGCCTCAGCCTCAGCCTGCCTCAGCCTCAGCCTGCATCAGCCTCAGCCTCAGCCTCAGCCTGCCTCAGCATCAGCCTGCCTCAGCCTCAGCCTCAGCCTGCCTCAGCCTCAGCCTCAGCCTGCTTCAGCCTCAGCCTCAGTCTGCCTTCAGCCTCGGCCTCAGCCTCAGCCTGCCTCAGCCTCAGCCTGCATCAGCCTCAGCCTCAGCCTCAGCCTGCCTCAGCATCAGCCTGCCTCAGCCTCAGCCTCAGCCTGCCTCAGCCTCAGCCTCAGCCTGCTTCAGCCTCAGCCTCAGTCTGCCTTCAGCCTCGCCTCAGCCTCAGCCTCAGCCTGCCTCAGCCTCAGCCCTCAGAGCCTCAGCCTCAGCCTGCCTCAGCATCAGCCTGCCTCAGCCTCAGCCTCAGCCTGCCTCAGCCTCAGCCTCAGCCTGCTTCAGCCTCAGCCTCAGTCTGCCTTCAGCCTCGGCCTCAGCCTGCCTCAGCCTCAGCCTGACTCAGCCTCAGCATCAGCCTGCCTCAGCATTCAAAATGTGGCCCGGGAATAAAGTTCTGGGAGCTCGAAGAACACGAAGTGGCTTACAGTTGGCTCCGGGGATTCAAAATCATGCCCAAGAATGGAGTTCTGAGAACTCGAAGACCACGAAGTGGCCTACAATTGGCTCCGGGCATTCAAAATGTGGCCCGGGAATGGAGTTCTGGGAACTCGAAGACCACGAAGTGGCCTACAGTTGGCTCCGGGCATCCAAAATGTGGTCCGGGGATGGAGTTATGGGGGTTCGAAGACCACGAAGTGGCCTACAGTTGGCTCCGGGCATTCAAAATCATGCCCAGGAATGGAGTTCTGGGACCTCGAAGACCACGAAGTGTGTAACTGTTTCCTTAAAACGACTTCCGCGTTTTCTCCCCGGCACCCGCCCAGACCCCCCTGGGGAGTCAAGATGGTTTCTTTTGACACTACTAAAAACCTATCAGTCTTCGCTGTTAGGTAAATACCCCAAAATACCCCAAGAAGGCAAACAAACAAAAACAGTGCGACCCTACCTAGAAGTTGGAGCCCCTAGGAAACCAGCATTAGTTGCTGTGCTATGCTATGCTATGTCATACCATGCTATGCTAAGCTATGCTATGCTATGCTATGCTATGTTGCGCTATGCTATGCTATGCTATGCTATGCTATGCTATGTGCTGCTATGCTATGCTATGCTAAGCTATGATATGCAATACTGCGCTGTAATATAATAAGCTATGTGATGCTATGATATGCTAAGCTGCGCTATGCTATGCTATGCTATGTTATGCAATGCTATGCTGCGCTATGCTATGCTATGATATGCTATGCTTGGCTATGTTCTGCTATGATATGCTATGCTAATGCAGCGCTGCGCTATGCTAAGCTAAGCTAAGCTAAGCTAACCCCTTAGGTAGGGAATTACACCCAGCGCTGCTGTTGCGTTGGTTTTGCTTTGCTGCTATGCTATGCTATGCTCTGCTATACTATGCTATGCTATGCTGCGCGGTGCTATGCTGTGCTGTGCTGTGCTGTGCTGTGCTATGCTATGCTATGATATGCTATGCTATGCTGTGCTATGCTATGACATGCTGGGCTTTGCTATGACATGTTGTGCTGCGCAATGCTGTGCTACGCTCTGCTAGGCTATGATGTGCTCTGCTATGCTAAAGCTCGGCGAAGCTAAGATGAAGGTAAGCTAAGTTAAGATACACCGGATCTAAGATGAAGCTAAGCTAAGCTAAGATGAAATAAGCTAAGCTAAGATGAGACAAGCAACGCTAAGCTAAGGGAACGTCACTGGGGGAACCGCGGGGCGGATCCTGGGGGAACCGCCCGGGGTGAGCCCCACTGCCCGGCCCCTTAAGCTTACAGGGTAAGAACCCTTCTAGGCAGAGCCTAGGTAGGGAACTACTCAAAAATAGTCCCCAGACTATGTTTGGACTACTTTTTGATCATTTATGTTTCTTTCGTCGAAAATCCCACTGTAGGGGGACAGGCCCGACTTAACGCCAGATGCAAGCGGTGGAGCCACCTGGGCCTCGAGGCCTCCCGAGGCGGAGCGTGGGAGTGGTCCGCCTCACGCTCAGCGAGCAATGACCCACGCACCCTTCTCGGTCGGAGCCTCACGCGGAAACACCAACACGTCTTGTAGTACTACCCCCGTCAGTGGCCTTCGTACGACAAAGGGGGGAGTCCAGAAGAAGGAGAGGAGGGGGGGCGGAGGAGAGCGGGGGGGGGCGGGTCGGCCTGCGTCGTCGTCGCCGGCGCCGCCGCCACAGCGGAGGCGAGGGGCCCCTGGGGAGGCCTCTGGAGGCCCCAAGAGGGTAGCCAAAAAGAGCCCAGAGTACCCGACCCTTGAACCTCGAACGCCGAGAGATGGGTGAGGAGCGCGCTATCTCTTGGGGGGGGGGACGCGGCTGTCGTCGTCGCCGCCGACGCCGCCGCCGTTGAAGAGCGCGGGGGACGGGGACGATGCGAAACAGGAATGGGCACCTCCGAGATCCGCGGTTTTCGGACGTGTTCGTTGGTTCTCTTCGGTTTCCCAGCCTCGGGACACCTGCCAGCGGCTGTGCCTCGCCGAGAGCGTTCCAGGGGCGCCCGGATCGCCCCGAGCGGCCGCCGGAGAGCGGACTTACAACCCGCGAAGACGACATGGAGTGGCTCGGGGGGGAGACTGAAGGGGCCCTGGGACACGCAGATGAATGCACACACAAGTAAGAAGATTCCCTACATTTTTGCGTGTTTCCTGGGTTTCTGTCTTCCCCCCGCTGCCCGTATGTTCCTATATTGTCTGGGGAATCGACGATTCATGGTGTCTGTGTGTTTCTTCCCCGAGGAGGAGGAGGAGGAGGAGGAGGAGGAGGAGGAGGAGGAGGAGGAGGAGGAGGAGGAGGAGGAGGAGGAGGAGGAGGCGACCTGCAGAGCGACCTGGAGTCGGCGAGAAATCGCCCACAGGTCGGCGACGGGGCCCCGAGAGCGAGGTCCCGCGCGGCCCTGCGCGGGGTGGTCTCTCGGGCCCCCGTCGGCGGTCCGTGGCCGAGGCGGGGTCGACGCGCCCCCCCCCCCCTGAGCGTACACCTTGCGAAATGCTTAAGAAATCATGGGTTAAGAAATTCATAGTCTCAGAACTTGAATAAAAACCCAACATTTCGATTCAAATCTTAGGATTTACATCGAAACATGAAGAATAATCGAGACTCTGGCCGAAAATTTAAGTTTTCTTAAGCATCGCCTAAGGTGTACCCTCTGCAGGATCCCCGGGAGGAGGGAGGGAGAGGGAGTCCTCGAAGAGAGGGGGGGAGGGGGGTACAGGCCTCGGCACAAGCTGGCGAACACTCATGCCACGTTCATCTGTCAGCGCCTCACGCTCCCCCCAATGTTCAAAGTTGGCGGTGGGTCTGATGACGTGCACTTCGACCGCAGTCTCCCCCGCGCGTGCCAACATTGAGTTTGGGGGGGAGGGGGAGTGTTCAGAAATTGTTTCCCTTTACCGTAGTGGTGAGCACCGCGTCAGTGGAAACAAAAACCTCGGCAGGGCAGCACGCACCACGACCACGAGGACGCCGACGACGACGGAGACAAGGCGCGCTTCCGATCCGCACCGAAGGAGGGAAGACAGGGCTCCTGGAGAGAGAGGGAGCAGGGAGGGGGGAGGGGCAGGGGGGAAGGCCGCACGCTCCGATCGTCGTCGTTGTCGCCGTCCGATCGAGGATCGATCTGGGGTTGACCGATAGTTTTCGTCTAGCACTTCCTG